TTCCTGGGAGCAGCAGCAGCAGCACTGGGGTAGGTTTGCTCGTGGCAGTGTTGTGCTGGAGGAATCTCCCCAGCTCCAGGTGGTGGGAATGTGTACACCCTCGTCATCGGCAAATGCTCCAAACCAGAGCCCCCTGGCCTGTCCCAGCCGGTGATGGAGCCTGCACCCGCTCCTCAGGGCCCAGGGAAGCCCCCTCCCACACTGGCCTTTCTCGGGGTCCACTAGGCACCAGGGTCACCCATGAAAACGTCTCACGGGTCTAGCGCAGCCCTCGGCCAGGGCATGGGAAACTCCACGGGGTGGGCACATCACTTATTTGTCCAGCGTGCCAACCTCTGGCCCAGAGCTGAGATGAGTGCCTGCCCAGGTGCCCCGTGTGGTCAGAAGGTGCTCCTGGTGCGGCCATCCGGGGATGCGCAGGGCGCCTGCCCCGACCCCCCGGCACCCCCAGGGCCTCCCAGCCGCCTGGGGCTTTCACATAAAGTGGATTCCAGAGGGAGGGGTTTCCACTGGGGAAAACTAACCCTGGATTACCTGGGAAACTCACCCAAACAAGCCAAGCAGAGATTAACAACCCCGCCCAGGACACCAGCTCCCCACTTCCTAAGCTGCCTTCCCCCTCTCTGCCCCTAGCAACACCTCACCCCAGGGAACAGGACACGGGCTGTGGAATGTCAGGTGGTGTCTGCGCCTGAGCCAGGTTGTCCCTGGGTTGGGCAGGGCATGTGCTGGGGTGTGTGTGTGTGTGGCAGGTGGGGTCGGGGTGGGGGCAGAGGAGGGGTGGGGTGTTGCGGCTCTGCCCTCTCTGGCTGCTTTGCTTCCATTCATCAGCCTGCAGTTCCCCAGCCCTATCCTTTGAAGCTGCAATAAATATTGATTCAGGAAAATCAATGTGTTTCCGAGGACCCGGATCGATAGCAAAGTTACAAGGATCAGGGCAAAGTCGTCCGTGCGCTAACTTCTGCGTTGCCGAGAGTCTGGACGTAAATGTACTGGCCACATAGCAAGGGGGCCAGCACCAGTGGCCGGGTCCACCCGAGGTCCCAGCAGAAACCAATGCTTGACCCTCCCCTGGCCACGACGGAGGGGGCATTGACTGCACCCAGTGGCCCCTCTATGCCCCTGCCTGTGCCAAGCTCCCAGCTCCAATGATGCCTGCCTCTCCCCCTCCCCCATCCCATGCCTGTCTGGGCAGGTCTGTACCTGTGGCTCTGGGTCTAGGTCACAGCAAAGAGCCCTGACAAGACAGCCTCCCTCAGGCTCTCTGTGTGGCCCCTGCTGTCCTGCTGGCGGCGTGCCCCTGAGATGGGGAGCCTGCCACCTCCTAAGCTGCCTTTCCCATCTCTGCCCCTAGCAACACCTCACCATGGCTCCTGGGACAGAGAGAGGGCACCCTCCCCAAACGCACACTCCAGGAGGCACCCCTGCCTGCTCAAGGTCAGTCTGGCTGCTTCCGGCAGCTTCCATAGCCGCCACCTGGCCTGTCCCGTCCATCTCTCTGTCAGCTTTTCCCTGAATCGAGTCAGAACCCCGGCTGGCCCGTGGGGTCCTCTGGGACTCCATCTCCCCTCCGCACATTTGCACTTGCTCCCTTTGCCTGGGCTTGCATCCTCCCTTCTCTGTCCTCTATCCATATCACACCCCCTTGGCCAGTCCTCCTCTGAGCTCCCAGCTGTGCGAACTGTCCTCCCAGAGGGCGAGGCTGGGGCCCGGGACCCAGGGAGGGTGCCCTCTGCATCTCTCCTGTGCGAGGCTGGGCAGGACAGGCTCCAGGGGTGGCATCTGGGTGGTGGATGCCTATCCTTCCCTGTCTATTTCTTGGACATTTCTTCCTCCTTCCACACTGCCCCCCACAAGCCGGTCTCTCCCCCACCGCCCCCCAACCATTTCTCATATCTCCAGCTCACTCTGTTTTCCTCTAACGTCAAGGCTAGGCTGGTGTGATCCAGTGGGGCTGCTTTCTGAGAATTTGGGAAAGGCAGATGTGATGTTCCCAGCTAATAGCCCCAAATCACCCGCGCCGCCCCATTAGCAGGGAAACCGGCCTGTGTACGTTACGCACTGCCTAAGTGGGAGCCCAGGCAGCGGTTTTATGACCCCATAAAACTTTGGGAGTTTATTGCTATTGAACAAACATGTAATCCGATGCTTCGAGTTCAATATATGTAGCCGATGGCATCCAGAGCCGGCTGCAGCTGAGGCCGCGTAGGCTGGGCCCCGGAGACACGCAGATGCCTCTGCTACATCCAGTTCCCTTCGGCGGCTTGAGCTCCTTTCTGTCGGCACCACCGTGTCTTCCAGCCCACGGTTTTGGGCCCCACGTTCTGATCCAAGGACTTTGGAACTGATGGGTGATTGACTGGCTGCAGGAGGGGAAAGGTTTACGGTGGCCATGCCAGGCGGGGGCCTGTCCTAAACACTGAACGGTCCAGGAGGTGGGCAGAGATGAGGGGCGGCCACCTGGGACCCAGGGCTCTGGGCAGAGGGTTGGCCCATAGCCCCAGGGCAAAGGGCTGTTCTGGGGGTGCTGAGGCAGAGGCCTCAGCAAAGGGAATGTGTGTTCTCAGGCCCCGCAGAGCTCCTGGCAGGAAAGGGCAAAGGGTCAGACCAGGGGGGAGGTCCATAGCTATGGCTTACACACCAAGGGCCCCTTCAGAAGTCCCCACCTACCCCTCTATTCATGCACCTGTCCACCCACTGATTCAGCCACCCAGCCTTCCTTCCACACAACCACATATCCATCCCTTTATCCACTCATTCATCCATCATCCACACACTCACTTATCCACCCACACACCTGTCCATCCATCTATCCATTCATCCATGCATTCACCCACCCATCGGTCCATCCACCCACCTATCAGACTTTTCTGTCTGTTCACGCATTCATTCTCCCTCCATCCACCTGCCCACTTGTCTATCATGTCTCCCCGTCCCATCCCTTCCACCCCCAGGGCTACCCCTCATCTGGGATCAGGGCTGTCCTTTTAGTCCCCAGAGATGACTCAAGGCCGGGAAGGCCTCAGCGACTCACAGCATCACACAGAAGATGCTGACGTGATGGCTGTGGCTTTTCCAGGGCACCCAAGTGCTCTTGTCCTGGGCTTCCTCCTGTCTGTCTATCTCATATATTTATTCTAAATACTGGAGACCCCCCGTGACTAAGGAGAGTTGGTTTCCTTCCATTCTTGCTGTGTGCACACACGCTTTCTTCCCAGTTCATATGTGCCTCCCTGGGCTTGTCCCTTCTGCATTTTCACCTTGTGTGGTTGGATCTTGCAGCTGTCCGCACCTTTTCTGCAGCCACAAGGAAACGCTGTGGCCACACCTGAGCCCACTCAGCTGGGTCTGCCCATCTGAGTCAGACGCCACCAGCATAGACCCCAGAGAAGGTTCGGCAACTCTTGACTCAGGACACCGAGAACCTGGCCCACTGACCGCCCCCCTGCCTCCGCCCCCTCAGTAGATGAGGGACTTCTGTGGTGCCTGGCTGGAGGGGCGGGGGGTGGGGCTGGACTCTGGGGAAAGCCCGTGCCCCGGTTTAATTTCTCATGCCGGCAGTTTGCTCACGCCCTTGGTGTTTGGCTTCATAGAGGCTCGTGCTCTGTGGATGAGATTAATTGCCCCTGTTCCTTGCTTGACTTCGAACTGCCTGGTGTCTTTGGAACTAATTGCTGATTGACTGGCTGCAGGTCGGCCACCTGAGGGTTGAGGTTCACACCAAGTGTGCTCATCCTCGCCTTTGCTCTTGGAAAGTTCTTTCCCGGCGGGAATTCGGTCAGCGTTGGCCTCTGTTGACACCCAGTTCCTTTCCGTGGCTCTGGTTCTTTTCCTGTCAGCACCGCCTTATACTCCAGCCACATTTTGGGGCCCCATGCTCTGATCCAGAGGATCCGTGGGATCTGTTTCCCTCCCTCCCTCCCTCCCTCCCTCCCACATAAACTTTTCTCGATAGTCTCCAGGTTGGAGGCTATCACACAGACCCAACCACACAGATGTGCAAAGCACAGAAACAAGTTGTGGAGTTGGGGCCGAGGACTAAGAAACTGGAGTTGGGGCCTGCAGGAGAGCGTGGCGGAGTGAGCTGGGGACGCTGAAAAACTCCGGAGGGATGGCCCTCTGAGAGGGAGCTAGGGAGCAGGCAGGGCTAATTGCAAGGACTGGTGGTCCCTCTGGCCTCTGTCACCTGGATCTCAGCTCCTGTCCTGTGAAGGTCCGTGGGTGTGGGGGAGGCGGGGAGGGCATGCAGTCAGGGACTGGAGGTGGCGTGGGGCACCTCCTCACAGAGCCCCCGTCCGGCTGCCCGACTCCCCACCACTGGGCCAGGCCTAGCCCCTCTGTGCTGCATGCAGTTGGGTCCACTGGCCTGCAATCACCAGGATTCTTAGAGCCCCTGTATTGCCAGGCACCCAAGGGGGCTAAGAGTGGACCCCTGGGCAGAGAGTGTGTAGGGTGGGCATGGCTCTGTTGAGGACAGGGCTCTGAGAGTATGTCCCGTTCTGGACTTGGTCCCTTCTCTGCCCGTTTTGTGACTGTCTCCCTTTGCCCACACTCCCCCTTTCTGCAGTGGCCACCTCAAGACCTGCAGAGGCGGGGCATGTAGACTCACTCACTGGATCAACAAACTCTTGCCAGGTTGTGCAGTGGGAGAGGGTGGGGGTGGGGGGCCGCCCTGGACCCTCTATGGCAGTGGTTCTCAACCTTCCTAATGCCGCGGCCCTTTAACACAGTTCCTCATGTTGTGGTGACCCCCAATATTATCGCTACAAACTGAACATAATTAAAGCATAGTGATTCATCACAAAAACAATATGTAATTATATATGCGTTTTCTGATGGTCTTAGGCGACCCCTGTGAAAGGGTCGTTCGACCCCCAAAGGGGTGGCGACCCATAGGTTGAGAACTGCTGGTCTATGTGAAACAGAAAATGTGGATGAAATTAATAAAAAGGTATAGACATGAGTAAGGTGGGAAGGGGGAGATTATAAGGCAATGGGGACACAAAGACAGCACTTAAAACACCCCCCATGCTTGTGCCAAGTCAACTATTTCTATGCCTCTAGACATTTATCAGACAATAATATTTAGTTCTTAGGTTCGACTTTAGCTCATGCCATCACTTTGTCATGTCAGACTACTAATAGCATTTAGTTCTTGGGCACATTCGATGTTTTGGAACATTGTAGACATAAGTCATCATCAGAAATTATATGTGTAAACATAGGAAGACAGATTCCAAATTTTAGGCCCATCAAAAGGGAAAATAAGAAAGCAAGAAAAAAAAATACTACTAGACTTGTCCACCAGCTACAAGAACAAGAAATTAATTTTTGATTTTACAATAAGAGAGTCAACAGACAGAGGAAAGGGGATTTAATTCAGAGGAAAGAACCAAGAAAAGCCAGTGTCTGGGAGGCATGGCCTCTGCAACCTCACCCCCCACCCCCAGGTGCATAGAAAGGCCCATGTCAACTCAATATGGGGAGGACTCACACCAGCATATAATCCCAAGTCATTTATAATCTCTACAGTGTTTAGACCAGTGGTTCTCAACCTGTGGGATGCCAC